AGAGAACAAGATATATCGGACTTAATTATATTGAGTAACGGATTTTTACTTTCTCTACGACTAGAGTCTTTGCCTTAGTCGTTTACCCTTCTTCTGTATAGTGCATACACCTAAAAGGCATTGAACTTCACTGTTGTCAGTCAGGGTTGTTTCCGTACTGGTATTTCAGTACGTAGCGATCGGTGCCCCGTTACATGTGGGCTGCTTTCGTAATTTGGTCTTCTGAAAGGATGTGGCCGTGACTTGTGCATCGTTGCACCTCGACGGGTTAGCTCAATCGGTTTCTCAACTGTCGCAACGGATGGCTTCTGGCCGTGGTTCAAATCAGCTTGTTGACAATTTTCACGAAACACGCTAAATCACATGAAACTAGAGCAATGTGATGGCACGGAGAAGAGCTACAGTGCATGCCAACGGGTGCCAACATGCATAGCAAGCATCATATGATAGGGAACAAGTTGTTTTGTCCGGCGAAAGTCATTTTTTGGTAAAACTATTATTGGCCCATTTTTCACGACGATGATGTTCCGAAGAAAGGAGTCTTCCATCATCCAGCGGGTTGTAGATGTTGTTTGGATCGGTGAAAAATTGAAACGTATCCATCAGATGAACGCATTTTATACACCAAAGCTGATTCCAAACAATCTGTCAATAAGTAGGAGATAGAGATCTTAGCAGTGTAATTCAGAAGGCACCGGTTTGCCTGCGATATAAAGTCTCAGATTTAAATAGCACCGATGCAGCTTGACCTGCACAATACAAATAAACCCAGGACAAAGAAAACGCGCGACATTGTTCCGAGAATAAAAAATGGCCCACCTGGTACGACAAACGTACCAAGTAATCAGAAAAAACGTGCATGGGTTTTTTCTCTTCTTGTGGTGCAATTTGCGTTATTTAATTTTCTGCTGTCATTGTTATTGTCGGGAATAGATGCCATTTACCTCCTAAATATCGGTTGGTTTTGCACGAAGTTTGGTGTGATTTTTTTCATTGTGATCGGTATTCATCCTTGTTTGAATGCAGCGTAGAAATTTTTTAGAGCACGATTAATCATTTAAGAGACACACCGACCCGTTTTTGTGACCAATTTGATGCGAGTACATGAATCTACCAAATCGATCAAGATGGCTTAGAATATACGGCAAAGTTTTATCAGCGCAACGTAGCGGAACGGTTTGTTGCCGATGACTCAAATTATTGCCAAAACATATTTCTGCCAATCACAGCTCGTTTGGTAAGGATCAGTATTTTGTGATTGTCTGTCGCGTGGATTACCCAATTTATTGCCGAGACGTGTCGTGCCAGACCGTCTAGATGAGACGTGGAGCGCGGAAAAGGGGTCGGGAGAGCAAGAAGGCCATCATGTCGTCTGCAGGGCGAAAGAAGTACTCAGCCGAAGACCTGGAAGCCGCTGCGCGCGTGCTTGCCGCGGGCGCCAAGATCGGCCGCGTTTGTAACTAATATCATGACATTCTGGAGCGAAGGATTCGGCATCGAGCCAACACCCTTAAAAACGGAGTGGTGCTACGAAAGCCTGCGCCGCCACCAATACTAGGGGAAAATAGGGGGTGATTTTCGTGACTGGGTGGTTGGAATGCAGGAGAATGACCTGTCAGCTAATCGTGAGGTAGTTCTGGCTAAGGCAAACGACATATGCCGGGCCAAGTACGGTGTGACGCGGAGAACCTGATTTATTACAATACGATGAGTAATGCTTCCTTAAGCGTCATCCGGATTTGTCGTTACGCGACAGTCAGGCTATCAAGCGTCCTCGGAACGAAGTTCCATTGACGGTCAACGGGAGTTCTTCAGCGAGTACATGAAGCACATCATCGAGTGCAATGCAAGTCTGGATCGATTGTTCAACATGGATGAGACAAGGTTTTCTCAGAAGAGCAGGCAGACGAAGGTGACCTTGGTCAAAGGCTCGCAAAACGTGTAGAGCAGGTCCGCACATTGCATCTTCTACCTCACCATCGTCGCGTGCGCGTCGGTGGCGTGCTTCGTTTTCCCACCGCTGTAACGGGGCACACCCTTGCGTGAACTTAACGCAAGGGTTTTGGTGCGCCCGACAGACGTACACGAGGCGAACGAGGAAGCGTAGATAAGGGAAAAGCAGAACTGTTCTATTATTATAATTAAGTCTTTTAACTACTGTCTCTCTATTTGACTTAACTTAATTATGCTAATATAACTGAGTGTATGGTGACGTCTCGTCACCACTCATTGCGCGCGTCTTGCAGCGATTGGTGGGTTGATATCGTCAAGATATCAACCAATGAACAGACTCTTTGGTCGACCCTTCAATATCACCACTTTGGTAATATTGTTAAAAAAATATTCAACATAATATTCCTAATTGTCACTCTCTCTAAAGTGACAATTCCATGTAACGGGCTGCCCCGTTACAACCGCTGTTCATTTTACCAGGTGAGCGCGTCACACGCGACGTGTTGGATACGTGCAACATCCTGGGTGCTGCTTTTACGACCGCTCATCGGTGGTGCATGGACAGCGCGGGATTTATACGATGACATCCCCACTTGTCGGGCGCCGTGCCTAATGCTGTCCAGCGACCGCTGATACAATATATGACGGCTGCAGCAGTCACGACAGCGGCGAAATTGTACGCGAAGCGGTGCGGCTCAAGATCATCCTCGTTGTCCTACCAGCGAACGCAGCCCACCTCCTGCAATCGCTAGACGTGGATGTATTCAAGCCTTTCAAGTCCAGCATCGATGCCGTGATTCGCGAGTACAACCTGATTGGGGGCGAATGCTCCATCTCGCGAAAAACATCCATTCGATTGGTAAGCACCGCGTGGATCAATGCCATCGTGGACAAGCTTGCCAATGTGGTCTCTGTCTTTAGAGCGTGCGGACTCTGGCCAGTATCACTGCCGCAACAGCAGCGTCGGCTCAAGCTGTTTCAAGATGGCGGATGCGTTAAGGACGTCGAGTTGCCCTCTTGGCTCAAAGTCAGAGAGGTCGTGCAGACCAATATTCTGGCGCTTCTTGCGTCCTCTACTAATTCTCGTAAGCGACGCAAGACTATTGACGTGAACCGATGACTCTTCACGCGTGAGAACTTGCAGAATATAAACGTATAGCAATCATCCCAGATTAAGACTGCATTTTCACATGGTAAATTTCGGCAAAAGCTGGGTGGTGCCAATTGTTTGTGGTATTTTCGTGATTTTTGTGCTGGGCGCACTCTCGCCTATATTCGCTCGCTCAGCTTTTTAAGACCTCAAATAAATAGAGCTCTTATTGGTCCTAGTTTTTTTTGTTAAATCGTCCAATTTGGCGCTTGCTTCAAGACGAACAGTAACTTTTTCTTACGGTCTCTATTTTCGGTAATAAACCATTCTGTGACGTTATTCAACTTTAGATTGCCATGGTAAATAATAAGGATTTATCGAGGATGTATTCGATGCTTACGAATGCACATTTGCCTGGCATCAGTCGTATGTGTTTACTCCTCTCTACTCCCTTTTCTAATTACGTAGTTGGTCTGAACGCGTTCATAAAGATAACGTCAATTGAAGTATGTGCGTGGACTAACGAGATAGACGCCATACTTTCGCGCCAAGCTGGTTGTAGGTGAGTGTCTATGAAGCCGACTGTAAACCAATCCGAAGGAGCCAGTGCACGCCAATAGCGGCGACAAACATGACGCAAAAGTGCTGAAATTACCACGTGAAATCGACGTTGAGGTTCAATGCCAATATACAATTTACTTGCAACTAGTTATTGCGAACGGCTGATCTGTGCACTATTCAGCACAAGGGTTACAACAACTAGAATCTCACATACTTTTTCCACGTGATCGCCTTGAGATCGTCGATGAGGTGATTGATAGATTGTCGTCAAAGCCGGCAAAGTGGTCACGTCTGCGCTTCCTGAACGAGATGCTTTCGAAATCGACTGGATATTGACTAGTAGTAGCCTTTTCAGTCGAACGAAGACAGGACTGCTTTCGTTAATGTGCCCGCTGCAAACTCAAAGCATGAAGTTACTTGTTCACTCAACGCGCGACGTTCAGTGTAGGGTGGCTTTTCCTTAGCCCGCAAGCCAGTAGTGCTTGGAGGTGTGAGCTTGTTCACACGGCGTAGCAACACAGCCAGAGCGAGAACAGCTGTCAAGTAATTGCTGCTAAGGACTACAGGGTGGCGCGACATAAGCATCGAGGGAATTCCACTTCGACTGACACTCTGCCTACCACCACAGTCGCACGTCAGCGGGAACTGATTCTCGGCGGTCTAAACGGTCGGTCCCTCCCGCCAAAACGTAGTTGGCCCGACTCTTTTTTTCCTCCCAAGCCACCGCCAAGACGACGTGGTTTCCACGCCTTCATGACCCGACAGCGTTCAAAATCGACCAAGATAGTCGCGCCGTCGAGCACACGTCGATGGGCGTGTCGGTACGCCCGTTCAAAGTCCCTCTCGCGTTCAAACTCGACGAAGGCATAGCCCTTGGACTTGCCTGTCGTTTTGTCCCGCACAAGACGCAGACGGCGAATGGATCCGTATGCACCAAAGAACTCCCAGAGCGTCTCGTCTACCGTGTCATAGTGCAGACGAGCGACAAATAGCGTCGCGTACGGATCGCCCTGGATCTGTTTATCGTTGTGCGCCTCGTAGCGAGCGCTTAGAGCCCGCACAAGTCCTTTGTCATGCGCTATGGGATCGGTCCCGTCGATGCTGCCCACTTGGATCGGGTCGTACTCCTCAGCGAACCAGAACTGGCGTCGGTCATGCGGCGGCCTCGGACGCGCGCGGTGGTGGTGGGTCATGTGGCAGACTGCAGAGATGGATGCGTGTGTGATTGGCTAAAAAGCCAGTACCTTCTTAATTGATCATGAAACCGTGGCTGCTCCCCCTGTTGGGAGGAATGAAGACGGCTGCCGCGGCGCGCGTGGCGCTGCTCACGGACGTTGAGGGGAACTGGCAGTATGTGCGCAACGTAGTGAAGCAGTCGTCGTGTCTGCAGCTGCTGTCAGAAGGTACAAGAGATGAGACGCTGGAGCTCCGTGATAACTGTATGCTGGTCTTTGGAGGCGACGCTGGGGACAAAGGCGACCGTACGCTCAGGTGTGGCGCAACTGGGCCATGTGTTTGGTTTGTGGACGCACAGTCGCTCACATAAGTACGCTATACGCTCTGTCCAAAAAGGTGCTACGAGCAGCTGGTGAAGCTCAAGAAACGGTACCCCGACCGCGTCGTGTTACTGGTGGGCAACCGTGATGCGAATAAAATGCGGTTCACGTCGGAATTGCACGACACGGAGATGGACTTGCACGCAATGGCTCAAGGTTAATGGATCTTTTGCTTTGACGTGGTATGTGTGAGGTGCTAAAAAGGTGTTGTGTATCATTGATTCGGTTTGAAGAGGTCCTTGAAAGTCCGACGTGGGTGCCCGAAAGCAAACGAACGACTTTGAAAACATTTCTGGAGGAACAAGTAGCGATATATGATGGACACGTGATGGAGGATGGTGACATTGAGACTGTGAATACCAAGACGAACCGTTTGAAATGGATGCTAGAGCACACGATGGGGTCACAGGGAGATTTTGATCGTCGGCGGACAGAGCTGGCATCGCGTCGAGAGGTCGAAAACGCCAAGGAAATAATGGACGAAGATGTCGTGAAGTCGTACATAGATAGTGTGAAGGAAGGAGGCGTGGTGCGTGAATATTTAGTGCACGGCAGTCTGGCATTTGTGGCCCACCAGACACTGTTCGTGCACGGCGGTATCATCAACGGTGACGAAGATGCTAGCTTGTCTGCGCTGGGCCGAGTACCCAACGAGCCGTCGAAGCGGTTCGAGGCGGTATCGGAATGGGTGGATGGACTAAATGCGTGGTACCGAGACCAAATTCAGGAGTGGATTGACCAACCTAACTGGAACGACGACCATTCGTCTCGCGGGGGCAACGGATTGCTCAAATACGTCGTGCCCAACTATACTGGCAGTGTCGTGGTCGGCCGCCATCTGTTGGCGTCGGGCATGCCAACTCCGCTTCCGGACAAGATTGCGTCATTACTGTCCGAAAGCGGGATCCGACGTGTGATTATTGGCCATACACCCCACGGCAACTGCCCAACGGTCGTGAAGCAACCCCATCAGCAACGTGATACCTGTCGGGCAAATGCAGGTCACAGTGTCGATGCAGTGCTTTTTGAGGATGTCATTATGTGTGATACAAGCTACAGTGATGCACAAGCTCCGGACAATCGTGGCAGCGCTGCGTCTGAGGTGGTAGTGGAGCCTTCCGGTCGTGTGACAGTCACCGGTGTGTTGGAGAATGGCCAGTGCATTAAGTACGATCCTGACGAGGATCCATGGGTTGGTCGATGGCTCCGAGATGGGACCATGGTGAAGGCCCGCCTCGTCAATAAAGATGCATATAGGGGAGAGGAGCTGTATCTCGTGTTCAGCGTGGAGAATGGGTACACATACACCTACCATAACCGCACGGTCACTCAACTCCGCGCAATCGGCTTGAAGAACTGACTTCTGGTTTCACGAAATGTGAGCTTTGTTGCAGTATGCTGCGACCATCTTCTTACGTTATGTTGCGTAACAGCAATGATACTTGCCACGCTGCTCACAAGCTGAAGAGTATGCGCACAGAGGCTCCTCCGATCTGCAGCCGCCGCACTTTCCATTCGAGTCTAACGTAAGTCTTCTTACCCCTTTTTCAATGTTGTAAAAGGACGGCCGCATGCAGAATATCGTAGATGTTTCGGGCAGTGCAAATCTCAGTGTTTCTTAGAATGCCTTGAATATGAGATTGTCTCCGCCATATAGTACCGAAGTTGCAAGCCTTCAACGACTTAACTGAGCAGTTTTGCGGGCATTTGCAAGAATTTCTTGTATTCTAAACTAATTCCATACCATGGCGTTTTTACGCTAATTACAGCCTCATCAGCTTTACAGCACCAATTCTATATATGTTTGGTTCCTTGAAGTGATATCATTATATCTGAATGCACTTTAATTCCAACATACATAGTATATGTAGAGTTATTGTTCATATCAAATTTCTATCAATAAATTTTTTTAATTGTTTCGCTATAAAGCTGTTTATCCTTTTAAAATTAAACTTTGCACACGGATCCAAACTTGTAAACAAGCAACACGTGGTCGTAGCAAGAAATATAGTCTTTACAAAATTCTCAGGACACTTACACAACCAACAGCGATCAACAACATACGGTGAGATGGGTGCTACTCGTTTATTGATAGTTCAACAAAGGGTTAGACATATCACAGGCTTTTGCAATAAGGCCCCGTTGGTTGTGCCGACACAGTACAAGCTAAGTGCACTAGCCACAGTGTCGTCAGGTGCGTTTAACCATTAAGTACATAGGAAAGTGATTATACCAAGGAACATGCGAGGTAGCAGGAATAAGTAGAACTGTATGATGCGTTGGAAAAATGTACAGTATATATTTCTCTCCTCTTACTGTGACCTTATCATACATTACTGACATATCTACCTGCTCACCACCCATTGCGCGCGTCTAACAGCTCTTTTTATTCGGGCTCATAATTTGTGTGTAAGGAGTCTGATAAAGAGTAGATCAGTGCCGAATGTAACTTTGGAAGGTAATATCCCATCAATATTTACTAAGTAAGATCGATATGGGTGAATATGATCAATTTTAATAATATTTTTATTGAACTATTGTTTGATGTCGCGAACATGTAACGATATAAACCATTAAAAGCTCGCTATATACATAAGCTTTCGAGCTTGTAGTGCGCTGTTGTGTGAGATGGATACATTGTCGTTTGCGGTGTATTTCTTGGTGGTATTGTGCAACTAACCCAACAATACACTTAGTTATCGCTACGGTCACATGCGCGCACGAGCTTCTGGTACTATCAGATACGCTTTATCAGCCCCATATATAAGGCAGCCATTTTTCGCATCTTGCAAAACTGCGTCGTGCTATCGTAGCTGCTAGCATCGGCGTTTCGGGTGTGAACGCTGTCATTTTAAAATATTTGTCAATCATATCATGAGGCAAGTGTGCCTTGATGGACATTGAGATGTCATAGAATGTAGCTGAAGCGACTATCACGATCCTGATCGTAGCATTTATTCTATCAAAGCTTTCTCTTTGGCATTTTAGAAGGTGCATTCTGACCCCCCTGGAGCTTGCGAAGCTCTCTTCAGAGATATAAAAAGCATGTGTAAGTGCAATTTTTTCATTTTATTTTTTATATTGTTGCAAAGCTGATGGTAATATCCCTAAGGTCGTTGTTCCGCAACAGTACAATCTCGAGACGATACAGTAGGTAAGAACAAAAAAAGAAAATCCAAACAAGAATGTGCTTGATTAGATTGTGTATTTTAGGACAAATATAGAATCATTGATCCCCCACAATCGAGTTCCCTATAAAAATTGTTAGCGAATTGCTGAGAAGTAGGAAGTGCTTAATTTTTAGTAGACTCTACTGCTCCTTCCCATAACTACATGAAAATACTAAGAAAAATTAATCTAGCAGGACAAAAATTTCTTCTTATGTCCATGTGACCAAACGACATACATGATAATGGGTCAGTATTGATACGAGCGCGTAATGAGTTTTTTAAGATGCATACTCCTTCGTATGGATTGTTTTCTTCTATAATAAAGACTTGGTAACTGTAGTATAGTTGTGTATAAAACCGCGTTCGTCCCATCATGCTCCAAATTTACTGAAGAGCACTTTAGCAGACCATGAACGTTCAGTATGCACCGGTTTTCGTTGCATGGCAATGAAAAAGCAGCTATTTGTATTGACATTTTAAGTAGTTGCGGTCTAGTCATTTAGCTTACGTCGTGACGCCTCGTCTACATTTTTAGGCGCAGGAGAATACATACTTTACCGGAATGCTAGCTACTGTTGATCTAGTGAATGCGAAGTCTATGATACCACTCGCCGAGTGTGTAACATACTTGACTTCTGCATGCGATATAGACTAGGATTTCACCCTAACAAAAAAATTTCCTTTCCCATATCGGAGGATTGTTCACTTAAAAAGCCGATTCGTTAGCGGGCCATTCCTGCCGAGAAGCGGTATGCTAGGTATTGGGTTTCCGGGTAGCACTATAGAGCAGTACGTATCATAATTGTTTTGATACCACAGTTTGGGCTAACAGCGGATCTACCCGCGGTTGCTGGACTGAAATAATCGGTACGTATTCAAGGCACGAAAGGATCCCTATGTGTCGTGGCCGTGGCAAAGGTTGAGGGTATGGAATCCGGATAACTTTTACATAGATCAATTACGTAAATATGTTCGACCCAAGCTGTAAGTTACCTGCTTTGCCAGCTCCATCATTATCGCGTACCGCTGATAATGACGGAACATCTTACTCGTTGAATCCTCAATCCAATACATTATTGTCTGTCAGTATAATCATCTATAATTGGATATCATGCGATACTATCGTCACTATCAGCGCGTCCGCTGGTTTCGTTGGAGCTGATGTAGTTTCTGCCTGATCCTTGAGGTAGACCTAATTTTTGTGGTGATGAAAGGCGATGCTGCTTATTTGAACGCCACCTGGGAAAGTCATTAAATCCCTATAGACGTTTTAGGGTTATGAACGGCTACTTATCTACGATAAATATATTGCAGGTGTAACTCTACTCATACATCCACTATGGTGACTTTGATCGGATAGATATAAAAGCACTTTTTCTTCACTTCCTTGGTCTACGTCCATGTGCTACTCTAGGCCAGCTGAATTTGTTTTTCGGACTCCTTGCTGACGACATCGTGTATGTTACCGATGCCATCATCGATAACTACTCGAGTGTTACGACATCGTGCACATTAAAGCTGCGTCAACATCCTTTTTAGCGTCCCGCTAAGCACTTCATCCCCATGAGAGGAATTCGCGCTGGCAATAGTTGATAATTGTGGTAAGTCTTACCAATATGTCACGTATCGAATACCGAATATCTTTACCAACTGCACTTGGGTTCAGGAATTCCGTGGCACCGGACGACCCCCTCTGACTATCACGTGAACATATAACTCTATATAAGCGCTTCCACGATTCACAGCTTCTTACCGGTATATCCCTATAGTATTGCGGCTACTGCTTTTAAAATCGCGATCTTGCTAATATCTGCCGGGTTAGGAACAAAATGGCTGATAAAATCCAACTTCAAATTTCGACTGCAATCTAATGAGAGACCGATACAACCTGAATTTGACCACGTATTTGTAAATAATTGCGTCAATCTTATACGACGCGGTACCCCTTGCGAATGAATTGGCTTTTATGTATCGTGTTAAGGTTAGACATGGCACAAGTATTATTTCTTGCATTAAGCATACATATGTCTCCCACTTTAGTATTTAACACCTATCGCTTCCTGTCGTATTAATTTTCTTGTCTCTCTTGAGCCCCGATCAAGCTATCTTGCTCCAGATTGATGGTATATTTTTTCAGAGAAGTCTTTTTTTCGTAATAAGATACGAGACGTTGCCTAATCTCATTGCTATAATTAACAGCAATCGCATTGCTGACTTGTCGTCCGGCGTCGCTCTATAACGGTGAAGGCCGTTTGGCCTCTATTACCACAGTTGCATGATCCAATTATACAGCATCGATCTCAGTCTACTATTCTTCACTACGTTACTTAAGCATGAGGCAGAATGAATATTACTGTACAGAATTCCTTCTCTTTTCTGGATCGTCAGCCCATGAGCGGTACACGGCAGTTGTTGGTAGCACGATACCCATTATGGGCACAAGTAATCGATAAAAGTTTGACGTGGATTTTAGGTTGTGATCGCTGATGGCGACCTACCATGAACTATCGTGGTGATGTCGCATAACAACATTTCGAGGCTCGCTCCATTCGGTGTATCTATCTTTGTTTGCGTAGCAGTATACTTGGGAAGCTATGACAATTTATCGACAACTGCCATGATCGCGTCATACTTTCTCGACACCGAGAGACCTGAAATGAAATTCATAAACACTACTTCTCAACTTCTTCTGTAACTTCGTTTCGCATAATCCTGTCTATTTGAGCGCGCTTGTACTTTATCGCTTACATGTATCACAGCTGCTAAGGCACCCGAGTTCCTTTTATTTCATAGTTAGCTAACAGTACCATTGTGCTACCTTAAGCTGCGTGCGGTGTACTCCTGGATGTGTACCGTGCTACCATTGTGATGTGACTGGAATATGGCAGTGATGAGGATATTTTCTGCTGTACATAATTTTGTTAGTGTTGAGTCGGGTGAAGATGCAGTACCCACCTTCCCTTGAATATGTCATGAATTCCATGTAGATCGCGCTCGAACTCATTCTCTTTGATTTGACCGACCGTACACATTTTTTCTCTTTCGACTAGAGATGGATACTTTATATGCAGAAAGTCATGTGCTGGACTTGAGTATTAGGATGTCACTGATGTATTGGAAAGATATCAACCTGGTGCAACGTTCTTACGTTATGATAATAATCCCTACTAATCGAGAACATGGTACTAGT